GAGCTGCCCCCCCACGGCGTGGCCTGCGTCTCGCTCTGGCCTGGCCTCGTGCGCACCGAGGCGGTGCTGAAGGAGGCCGAGGGCTCGGGGCCTTGGGCCGGGCAGCTGCAGACCATGATGGTTACTTCAGAGAGCCCCGAAGCCAGCGGCAAGTGTGTGGTGGGCCTGGCCTCCGATCCCGCCCTCATGAGCCACAGCGGCAAGGTGCTGCTCACCCCAGATCTCGCCCGCCGCTACCGCTTCCGTGACGTGGACGGGAGACCTGTTTACAACTACGTATCGGTGCGCAATCTGCTCGTGATGCTGATGCCAGGGCTGTCCTGCCTGTTCCGCCTCATCCCAGAGTGCATCAGTATACCCAAATGGGCTCTCGCGCTTTACTCCAGCAAATTCTCTGTCTACCAACCCCTGCAACCAGCCCCTAAGCCTGAGAAAAAAGTTGGATAAATTCACAATAAAAAATGTGCTCATGATGATGAATTTTCTGTTTCTTCGGTGTTTTCTGAAAATGTGTCATGTAGGGATGTTAAATTTAATCAACTAATTTTCCATCAATTAGTCAATAAGTGGGGCAGCCGCAGCAGGGTTAGCTCCTATCCCATGAGCTAATCCTGCTGCAGCTCTGCCTTTTAAATGTATTAATCTGGGACAGCTGATTCCTTGTTGGGGCTGAGTCCCCTCACTCTGCTGTGCTTTAGACTTTTAAATGTGTTGGCTCTTAATTAATTTAAAAGGCTAATGCGCAGCTGGGGGACCCAGCACAAGCCAGGAATCAGCTGTCCCAGCTCACGCCAGGTCCCCGCTGTGCTTCTGATTTTTAAATGCAAAGACACAGCATCTGGGACTGATTCCCAGCTCATGCACAGTCTCCGTTACCCCCCCTTCCTCTCTTTCCCCCTATGGAGATGGTGGGGGAGGGAGGGAACCAGTTCCTATTCCTTCCACCCCTCTTGCTGCCTCAGGGAGGAGTGACTAGTCGAGAGCATTTGCTTATCGGTAGTTGACAAGTCGCTTACATCCCTAGTCTTATGGGTTGAAACTTTCAACTGTGATTCTCAGCGAGTCATCAGAAATCTTCAAAGCTGCCTTTTCTTAGAGCCTGTTCATTTTTGAGAGGCGTGTGGAGATTGGGTTTGATTTGGCGATGAATTTTAAGGGGGTGTAATCTCTCCCTTTGGGGAAGAAGGGGTTGGCTGTGTGTTTCAATGAGCCTTTGAAATTATCTTCACAATTCTGTAGAATTTCAGAAGCCAACTACAGAGAGACAGCGGAACTGGCCGTCCTATGCAAATCTCTCATAGCTTGAACAAAGAAATGAACTAGATGGGCCCATTATATTCAACACCTGAATAAAACCAAAAGCGAAGTATGGGACACAGAGCTTCATTAGCACGAGCACTACAATTAACGGGCATTTTTTCTCTGCCTCTCCCTTCATTTTCTGTTTTAAATAGGGAGGTTCCCCCTTTTTTCTTCACTCATCTGAGGAAGAGGGTTTTGCCCACTAAAGCTCATGATACTATGTATATATTTTTGTTAGACTCTAAGGTGCTACAGGACTACTCACTTTTTTCAAAATTTTGCAGTAATTCCCATACCCGTGTGTAATCTTTTATCAGCGGGATTGCACAAATGTGACTGATAGGGACTTTTGTAACAATTCTGTTGATGCATGTATTAGGAACGTGAACGTGTCCCTGCCTGTATCAGCAGAGGCAGAGATGCCAGCTGTGGAGCCACTTGCCCCTTCCTCCGCCCACCCCTGCACTGCTGCCTCTCACAGAGGCAGGCTCCTGCCTCCTCCTATCCCCATATAAATGTGTAACTGCTGAAAATTTCAGCAGTTACAAATTGACAAAAACAAAAGCATTTGAACATCCCTAGCATGTATAATCCTTCTGTTCTGTGAAGTTGACAACAGCAAGGGCTAAGTCATTATCAGGGAGTTCCTCTTAACAATGCAAACCAGAACCAATGTTAGCCCCCACCACGTAATCTGGGAAAACTAATACCTGCCCAGAGTGCATCCAAGAGACAATATTTCCCCTTTTTGCAAACACTGAAGACTTGGCTACACTACAAAATTAAGTTGACCTAAGTTAGGTTAACCTATAGCCACCACAGTAATTAAATCAGCTGTCGATATCCAAGCTACCCTCCTGTTGGTGGTGTGCACACAGGCACCAACTTTGAAAAGTGCCCAGGGATGCTCCACCCCTGACTCTGACCTAGGTTCCTCCCCCATTCCATTACTTCCCCCAAAGCCCTCCCTACCTCTTCCCATGCAGTTCCACCCCCTCCCCTGAGCATGCCATGTCCTTGTTCATTTCCCCTCTCCCCAGTCCTGAATGCCATGGAACAGCTGATTGCAGCAGGTGAGAGGTTCAGGGAGGTGCTGACCACAGGGCCCACCAGCAGGAAGTGCTGGGTGGGGAGGAGGGAGGGTAGGGGTTCTGTACACAGACATTGCATCTCCCTAACTACATCAGTCTAGGCACTATGCTCATGTAGACAGTTAAGTCAACATAGTGGGTGACTTA